GGACCACCACGGTTACCTGGAAGTCCACGACCACCACCACCACCTCTATTTCCACGGCCTCCCCCTCTAGTCACCACAAAACCAGATCTGTCTGAGAGAGAAGAATGCTCTATAGACTTAATAGATGTCCTCCTGAGACGGGCAAAAACTTCTTCAAGTGAGGGAAGAGCAGACCCCCCCAATATTTGTGCACGGACAGGCTCATATTCAGCCTTCAAACCCACTAGAAACCTTGTCACATCAGATTAAAGTACTCTTGGTACAAYTGATACACCCTAGTTGTATTGTCTTGTCCGGAGTATAGTTTCTTAGTATGATCCTATATTTCTTTAGCTGTATCTAGGAACATAAAGTTCATGCTAATTTTTTGTTCCATGCTATTCCACAGCCATGTCATTATTTGTGCATCTTCCTGTTCCTAGTCACTAAACCCCGGGGAATCAGAGGAGGGTTTCTCCTCTCTCATATGTTTTACTTTTTTCTTGGCCTTTAAAAACACCTCCATAGATTTTGCCCACGGCACATAATTCTCACCATTCAACTTAATAGAYGTCATTTGAACATTTAGGTAATCTGGAGAAATCATAACGCCTATTTTATTGTCATTCCCATCTCCAATTGATGCCATCTTAACTAATTCACCTTCAAATATTCAGCACAACCTTACGCACTTCCACAAAACTTATCTCACTCTCAGCACCACCAACTTCTTCAAATACACATTGCACATCAAATACAAAAGCTGAAATCACTCAGTCATTAAATCAAACACCTGTACTGCACACTRCARAACCATTCRYACACCAAATACAAGGGCTGAAGTCACTCAGCCATTAAACCAAACACAGAAATCAGTATAAACACCACCACACGACACAAGGTTTCACTTTCAACCATTCAGAATCATCCACACACCATTCAACACAGTACAACCACCACCACACCACTGCTGTCGTGAACTTCAGCAGTCGAAAAACTCTACTTTCAGCACACATATGAAGTATAAACAGAGAAGAACAAGGCTGATATGCATACTAATCACTTCAAACCTCCACAAAAAAATATTTTGAACCAAAACACAGCATTTATAGTCCACTATTTGGGCAAAAAACAGAACTGCTCATACCTATCCACAAACAGCCCTCTTCGTATCACAGAATAGAGGGCACCTAGTACACAACCTCAACGGCCACCACCATTGTAATTGGAGGCATACTCACCTCCAAAACCACAAAACGACCACTCCTTTTTGGCCTCTTTTCGAGCTTCCACTCAGGCTAGAAGAAAATCGAAGAAAGCTGAAATTGTTGGCGGCGAACCCAGGAAGAAGACAAATAGTGAGGAAAGAAAAAAAAAGGGAAAAGAGAACTAGGTTTTATTGCTCTGATACCATATGAAATCCCTATTCGATTCTAGGTTAAAGTAGAGAGGAAGAAGAAGAGAAAGAAGAAGAAGAGAAGAAGGGTTCGGCCAGATTAGGAAAAACCAGTCCACCTCTAGCCGACCCCCTTGTATTTATCTCCAATAACATAGTTACAAGAAAGACCATATTGTCCCTCATAAGTGATGGGACACACAACTTAAACTTAAATAAAATAGACCTTTCACTCTCAAATAGATAAACCCAAATGACCATAATACCCCTGATTTGTGTATTCTAACAATAGTTGACAAAAAAACCAGTCCACCTCTAGCCGACCCCCTTGTATTTATCTCCAATAACATAGTTACAAGAAAGACCATATTGTCCCTCATAAGTGATGGGACACACAACTTAAACTTAAATAAAATAGACCTTTCACTCTCAAATAGATAAACCCAAATGACCAAAATACCCCTGATTTGTGTATTCTAACAATAGTTGACAAGCAACTGTTTCCATCACTTACTAGTTGACAAGCAACTGATTGCATCACTTACTAGTTGACAACTAGTAAGTTAATTTTGGCTTGAAAAAGACAAAGGTTCATCTACATAGAGGCATAAAGTGATATTCATGTTCTAATTTCTATTTTATGTTTTGATAGGTGCGAGACATGCTTGGTGATGGCCGCCTTATAAAACGTCGGATTCGCGATGGGAGAGGTGCCATGTCTTATTTCAATTTAGTAGATAATTGAACATAATATTCATTATTTAGTACTTCAAACTATGCGAATAATAATTTGGATACTTTGAAAGGAAATGCAACTGTATATTATACTTATGACATCCATTAGGTCATAGATCTTGTACTTTAAATAATCTAAAAGATTAATATGCTGCTGCTGTATTCAATGTAAAAAAAAAAGATGAATAGAGAAGGGAGGAAGAGAAAGAAGGTCTCATAAGAGAAGAGAATCAACAGAGTCTATGGTCAGCCCTCTCTATATCTTATATACTTTAGCTTGAAAACATGTAGATTTACAACTCCTATAAAAGAAGGCAATACCAAGAGTAAAAGTCATTTTAACTTCTACACTCCCACTGTGGAGCATTGGGTGTTGTTGAGATTCTGCAGTTTCTTATGATTTTCTTGTTTATAATCATTAAATAGTGTTATTGGGCCCAAGGCCTATTAGTTTATGTTGTTTTTTTGGAGCTGTTTTTATATTATGAACAGTAGCTGCCCTATTAAGTGCATATTAGTCTTTGTAAGCAATCTTTTTTATGAGTATATAAGATAATGAGTGGGGCAGCTAGATCTTTTTATTGGCTTATCCCCATCTCTTCTCTTTCTCTTCTTCTCTTCTCACTAAGAACTCTCTCTTTTTCTCTTCTTTCTCACTGTTATCAAATCAGATTATTGTTTTTTTCTTTTCTACTTGGTATCAGAGCAACTTTCTGGGATTTTTTGAGTCTTCCATCATGCAGCCCTAGATCAGACAACTGTATGGTGAGTTAGATAGCTGATCGAGGGCTTCGAAAGTGCCCAGTGGATTTTTTGGTGGATCTAGAACCCTTTGTGTCAGATCTTGGGTTGACCATTGAAATCAAGAAGAACTGGAGGAGGAAGAGTCCTGATTGTAGTAGGACTCTTTAGTTTTGACCTAGGAAGGGCTGCTCTGGATTTTTTGGATTTCATGGTGATTTCTGAAGAGGGTGGTTCAAATTCTGGAGTTTTCTGATGTCTCTGGAGGGAGCGACAGCCTTTTGTCTTGTTTTACCTACTTCCACAGTGAAAGGAATCTTTGTGGATGAAGGGTTTTGGGTACCAGAAGGGTAGTTGAGGCCTGCAAAGGGGATAAATCTATTTTTTCTCATCTATAGTTGATTTCCTAATCTATTCTGGGAATTATTAAGGGAACTGGAGTTAAATATAAGTCCATAGGTGAAATGAGACTATGTAGAGGAGGTGCTAGTGACCCTTTTGGGGCAAAAACCATATCTAGAGTTAAGTTGGATGGTACAAACTACTTGGAATGGTCCCAATCAGAAAAAATGGCTATTGGTGCTCGTGGAAAATTGGGGTATGGCACTAGTGAAGAAAAAAAGCCTAAGACTAACTCTTCCCAGTGGGTATAGGAGAATTTCATGGTGATGACTTGGTTGTGCAATTCTATGTTACCCCATATAAGCAAGAACATTTTATGAGCTAACACAACTAAGGAGATCTAAGATGGAGTTGCGGAGACTTACTCACAGAATGAGAATGTTGCTAGGGCCTACTAGTTGAAAGGTGATTGCTACTTGCTAAGGAGATAAATCTATTCCAGTTTATTTTTCAACCTTCAAAACCTTATGGTAGGAGATAGATCATTTGGAGACTGTGGTTTAGGAGAGTAGTAAAGATGAAGCTATTTATCAAAAGCCGGTAGAGAAGAATAGAGTGTTTGAGTATCTAGAAAGATTCGACCCAGAGTATGACATTGCACGATATTCTCTCTCGTGATAGTGTAACTCTCTCTCAGGCATATGCCTTTGTGTCTAGAGAAGAGAATAGGAGGAATGTGATGGTGAGAAACTTAAACCTTGAGCAGTTGGCTATGGTCAATGCAGTGAAACCTAAGCCAGGTGGGGATAAGGGTGGTAGTGATGCTAGGAAGGAAGATAAGAAGGACTTGATCTATGACTACTGTAAGAAACCAAGTATACCAGAGATACCTTACTGGAAGTGACACCCACATGTTATACCAAGTGGGCTCAGAAACAAGAAAGGGAATACTAATATGGTAGTGATTGGTCCTTTATCTGGACCACCTACTACTTTAGAGTCAGTTGTAGCAGTTGCAATTAGGGCCAAGTTGGAGAGGTATGGACAATTTCTATGTCAAAGAGATACAACTTGTTCTAATTCTTCACAGGGTGGACAGCAAGGTGCAAGTGGCCGAGGAGCTAGTCGTTCTACTTCGTTTGCACATATAGGTAATTCATATGCCATTACCGATTATGCCTCCGCTACAGGTAAGGGGGACCTCCCTAGATTATAGACTCAAGAGTCTCTAAACATATGACACATATTTCCACCATCTTCTCATACCACCTTTGCTTTGGTAGAGATAGAGTCTCCACAACTAACAACTCCCATGTTCCTATTGCTAGGAAGAGGTCTGTCCAAATAATTGATACCATTACCTTGCCTTCTGTACTCCATGTTCCTAGATTGAGTACTAACCTTTGTCTATGAGCAGTTTGACAAAAAAATTGAATTGTTCAGTAATTTTTTCTCTTGGTCAATGTGTTTTATAGGATCTGGAGTGAAAGAGGACGATCGGGAGTGGCCATGAGGTGAATGGAGTCTACCTTCTTGATGTTCTTCCTAGTCATTAGAGCCATCATATCAGCAACAGGAGAAATTAGTCAAATCTAGTTGGTCAAATTATGCTTTGCCATAATCGATTAGGGCATTTGTCTTTTGGGTCTTTGTGTTTTTTGTTTCCAAAACTGTTCGAGTCTGTTAAGTTGTCCAGTTTAAAGTGTGAAGGTTGTCAGCGTGGAAAACATTGTTTTCATTTAAGGTAAGTAATAAAAAGATGTTCTTTAGTTTTTGACATTATTCATATTGATGTTTGGAGACCATATCATGTTCCTCCAATGGGTGGCTATTGTTATTTTTCTTCTGTTCGTGGATGACTATTTTTGGTATTCTTTGCTATGCTTGATGAGATTTCGTGATGAGGTTCCTTCCTTGTGTATGAAGGAAACGAAAACAGGTATTGTTATTATGGTCCGTTAGGGAGCCTGTATGTCACCATGGGTGTCACTTTATTTAAGTCCACACTTTTTTCTTTTTAGCGAGTCATTCTCGGGGGGAGTGTTTTGGGGAGTAAATGAGACACCACTTCTTATTCCAGCTCCTTTACCTACTCCAGTGTCTGACCTACTTGTTCCACCTACTTTGTCTACTCCATTACATCTTGCTTCTCAGCTTTTTACATGACAAAACCTACAGTAGCATGGGGAGGTTGATTCCACAATGAAGGAACCCACGACACTTCCCATCACTTCATTTGAGATTCTAGGTTTGGCTGACACAAACCCAGGTGTGCCTTTTGCTCCATTGGTGTTTCAGTTCGTGTTCATACTTCCACCCCTTTTCCTAACACCATTGCAGATGATCTAGACCTTCCTATTGCACTACGGAAGGGAAAGAGAAAGTGCACAACCCATTATATCTCACATCATCTTTCCTACAATGGGTTATCTCCCTCCTAATGGGCCTTCCTTTCTTCTCTAGATTCTATCTATACCCAAGACTGTTAGTACAGGGCTGATGAAAGCATAGAAAGGTACAAGGCAAGGCTAGTTGAAAAAAGGTACACTCAGACTTATGGGATAGACTACTTGGAGACTTTTGCACTGGTAACCAAGATGAGTTAGTTTGAATCCTCATATTTCTTGCAGTTGCTTAATCTTGGCCCTTCTTTCAACTTGATGTGAAGAATGCTTTTCTTAATGGAGATTCCAGGAGGTGTACATGGACCTTCCAACTGGTTTTTACAGTGATATAGCCAAAGGAAAGGTATGCAGATTGAAAAAATTATATGTTTTGAAACAATCACCCAAAGCTTGGTTTGACAGGTTTAGGAGTGCATTGATTATGTTTGATTATACTCAAACCTAGTTTGATCATACTCTGTTTGTGAAGAGAAGGGGATCATTGGTGTCAATGTTGATAATATATGTGGATGCCATTGTAGTCACAAGATATGACCTAAGTGAGATTGATGCATTCAAGAAAAACTTACACTTGGAGTTTGAGATTAAGGATCTTGGGGAGCTAAAGTATTTTCTAGGCATTGAGATGGCATGGTCTAAACATGGGATCTTCATTTTCCAAAGGAAGTATGTGTTGGACCCATTACAGGAGACAAGAAAACTTGGGGTTAAACCAGTTGATACACCCATTGACCAGAATCACAAAATTAATGCTACAAATGGTGAGCTAGTAAAGGATGTTGGTATTAGAGATTTGTGGCCCAGTTGTTATACTTGTGTATGACAAGATGTCAAGACCAGATATCTCCTATCCACCTCCACATGCTTTGTGCGGTCAAGCTGAACAGGGTTGTGAGCAATATTATTATCACAATAGAGCCTCATAGGATCACAATGGACAATGCCAAGTTCCTTCAGTAACAACTTTGGTCACATTAATTCTGATATACAATTACCCATAGACCTGAATTCAGATTCAACACTCTATCTAGCTACTACATTTTGTTTTGTACTCCTCTAAGTTACCAAATTTCCACCTAGAAGAGTACAGTAACCATATGTAGAGCATCAGTCATCAATAGAATCCTGCTCAATCAACATTTGTATATGGTTAAAGCTGTAAATTTCCATGATTAGCAAAGAGTAAGCCCTTACCAGGTAAAGCCTTCAAATACACAAGAATCCATGCAACTGCTTCTAAATGAGGAAAATGAGGAGCATGCATACATTGACTTACTATCCTCAACAGTGTAAGCAATGGCTGGCCTTGTCAGTGGTAAATAAAGTAATTGTCTTACAAGTTTCCAGCATATCCCTTAATCTTCTAGCAATCCTCCATTTCTGAAATTTAGTTAATGATTAGGATCTATTGGGTGTATCTTCAAGTTTACATCCTAGTTTTCCTATTTCTTCAAGCAAATCCTAAGTGTATTTTCTCTGTGAGTTGGAAATACCTTTGTTGGACTAAGCAACTTCTATACCAAGAATGTACTTGAGTTCCCCCAAATCTTTAATCTGAAATTCTAAAGCTAATAAAATCTGCTGCTGAATCTCCTTGTAGTGATTATCTATCATAATATTATATATCATAATGGTTGATGTAAGATACTGTCATACTTGGCAAAAAGAGTATGGTTGGTATGGCTCTGTGTATACCCAAGCCTCTTAATGGCTTTGTTGAATTGATTAGGCCAAGCTCTTGCTGATTGTTTCAGGTTATAAATGGATTTCTTTAACTGGCACGCCTTCCTTGGAATTACTTCAACCCTTGGAGGTGGGAGCATATGAGTCCTTCAAATCTTGGTGTAAGAAGGCATTCCACATCCACTCCGTCCCTCTCAAGATCCCTGATAGCCAGGGCCAACATTGGGTAATAGCCCTTGTCTTGGAGGCCAAAAATGACTTGACTGAGTCATGAGTCACTAGTCATATACTGAGTTTATATTGTAAAAAATTATTTTTTTCTTTTTTTTTTGTTTTTTGTAAGTTAATGTTAAAGAAAACCAAAGAAAATGTAAGCTAAAGTGGTAAGAAATGATCTAAGGATTTACAATTCGACAGAAAGCATAGCTCTTGATATAGCACAATGGTAGGATAGGATTCATGTGGCAACCCCTAATAATTGGGATTAAAGCCAAGTTCAGTTGACTTTAAGCTAGTGACAGAAAAGGTATTCATTCAGAAGGTTTTTTTTTTTTTTCTCCAAATAGTTGCTAAATGACTTTCAGTAAACATAGAACATCTAATATAACTGCTGTCTGGTATAGTGCTAGTTTTAAATAGTTCTGATTATTGCTTGCATAATCTGTGGTGCACTACCTTCCATATGTTGTGCCATGTGCCTCTGGTGTTGTTTTTCTCACATATATATGAATTTAACACTTTATGGTTTTCTTAATTCTTGGTCATAATTAGGTGAGTTTCCTATGGATTGTCCTCTTCATGACAGTCTGCTGCATGTGCACTATAAGGGGATGCTTCTTAATGAGGAAAGGACTGTGTTCTATGATACAAGGATTGATAACAATGGTCAGCCTTTGGAGTTCAGTTCTGGAGAAGGGCTTGTAAGTTCATCATCTTTCACTCCTTGATTTTGTCTTTTCTGTGTTGTTATTTATTGCTACAATTGTTATCATATTCATATTTTAGGAAATGAAAATAGGCAAATGTCTTTAAAGGCATATTGATAATGCACAAGGATCTTCTTCTAGAAGATCTGTTGTTTCAGTTCTCATGCTTGTTTGGGGTTAACATATAGAAGGAAAAGAACATGACTTCTTTTTCGCTTCCAGTAGATCTGGTTAATATCATTTTAGAAAGAACTAGTGTAACAATGGAACTCCATTTACTTTGAGGCTCTTTTGACATGCCACACTAGTTCTAGGTCTTTCAGTCTATTTCTATGTGGAAATTACATTTCTTTAGATTAGCTTCAAAGAAAGAGTTGCATTATCACTTTCTGCACCGTAGAAGTTTTCATACCAGGGACATGCTTGAAAAATGTTAAGGACTGCATACAAGCAATGTATTTAATTTAGTTAAATTTTGAAAAATCCGAATTTGAACTGTTGAGAAATTGTCTTTTATCCAATACTTCAAGCAAAATATGGGAATTATTTTGGATTTTGACTGGGGCCATAATTGAGGCTTAAAACCTTTGGCAGAAAAGGCCTTATTTTCAACTGTATCAACCCTCTTTTCGTGGATCTAGAGTTGTAGAAACATATGTTACCAAGAAGTTCTTGGTTTCTGTCCATAGTTGTCAAGGTGCCCGCGTAGGCGTCGCCTAGGTGACTAGGCACCCTTGGCTGGGCGCCTCGCCCAAACACCTTGACTTTTAGCAACTAGGCACCCTTCTAGGCGACTAGGCACCCTTCTAGGCGACTAAGCACCTGCCTAGGCGACAAAAATGATATGGCAGGCGCCTTTTATAATATCATTTATATTGCTGTATCTTATTAATGTATGTGTTAATACATTTTATTATATGCTATATATATCAATTATACTTTGTTTTAATGTTTTACTATTGAACTTTAAAAGATCAAAGGGTTTT